TTAACATTCCACTGTGATGATGCATTGATGTATTGATAAAATTCCACTGTGAGGGTTCATTGATGTATTGTTAACATTCCACTGTGGGGGGGGGGTGTTGATGTATTGTTGAAATTCCACTGTTGGGGTATATTGATGGATTTTTGAGACTCCACTGTTCGGTTCGGTTCGTTGTGGTTTGGTTGGATTTGGTTTGGTTGGCTATCTCTGTAACTACAGGGACGATTTAATTTCGCACATTTCACTTTAATTCCCCGTCAGTTTGACGCTACCCCGCTGCACCAGGCTGCCAAAAAAGGACATGTAGAGTTGGTGAAACTGCTGATGAAGCACAAAGCCGATATTGAAGTAAAAACAAAGGTAATACTAATGCAATGCAAAACAATACACGAAACAAGGCAATATAGCACAATTCGATACAATACAGTGCAAAATATTAAGACGCAATACAGAACAACACGTCACAATATGACGTAGTACAAAACAACACGACGCAATACAGCGCAACACGTCCCAATAGGACATAGTACAAAACAACACGACGCAATACAGCACAACACGTCACAATAGGATATAGTACAAAACAACACGACGCAATACAGCACAATACGGTACAATATGACGTAGTACAAAATAACATGACGCAATACAGCATAACACGTCACAATAGGACGTAGTACAAAATAACACGACACAATACAGCACAATACGATACAATAAAACGTAGTACAAAACAACACGACGAAATACAGCACAACACGGTACAATAGGACGTAGTACAAAACAACACGACGCAATAAAACACAGCACGGTACAATAGGACGTAGTACAAAATAACACGACGCAATACAGCACAACACGGTACAATATGACGTAGTACAAAACAACACGACGCAATACAGCACAACACGTCACAATATGACGTAGTACAAAACAGCACGACGCAATACAGCACAAAACGTCACAATAGTACAAAATAACACGACGCAATACAGCACAACACGGTACAATAGAACGTAATACAAAAAAACAGGACGCAAACAGCACAACACGTCACAATAGGACGTAGTACAAAACAATACGACGCAATACAGCACAACACGGTACAATTTGACGTAGTACAAAACAACACTGCGCAATACAACACAGCACAACACGGTACAATAGGACGTAGTACAAAATAACACGACGCAATACAGCATAACATGTTACAATAGGACGTAGTACAAAACAACACGACGCAATACAAACAACAAGTCACAATAGGACATAGTACAAAACAACACGACCCAATACAGCACAACACGGCACAATAGGACGTAGTACAAAACAACACGACGCAATACAGCACAACACGGTACAATTTGACGTAGTACAAAGCAACACGGCGCAATACAACACAGCACAACACGGTACAATAGGACGTAGTAAAAAATAACACGACGCAATACAGAACAACACGTCACAATGGGACATAGTACAAAACAACACGACGCAATACAGCACAACACGGTACAATATGACGTAGTACAAAACAACACGACCCAATACAGCACAACACGTCACAATGGGACATAGTACAAAACAACACGACGTAATACAGCACAACACGGTACAATATGACGTAGTAAAAAATAACACGACGCAATACAGAACAACACGTCACAATGGGACATAGTACAAAACAACACGACGCAATACAGCACAACACGGTACAATAGGACGTAGTACAAAACGACACACTGAATACAGCACAACACGTCACAGTAGGACGTAGTACAAAACAACACGACGCAATACATCACAACACGTCACAGTAGAAAATACTAGATATAGGTCAATTATAATATATAAAATGTTGTCTCTCCGTGGAAAATTCATGGATCCTTTCGGTTATTTTTTTATATTTCGAAACCTGCGGACAATGTAGTGTAAACAATGTATTCTACATGCGTTTTCTACGTCACATATGATCTATACTCGGCACATTGAGATGCGATGACTATTGCCATTTAAACTGACAGACGGCGTTATGAACGCTAGATAGCGTGGTTGACAGGTTCATCGAACTCCTTTATATGTGAACCATTGACATCAATACACAGAAGCATACTGTTTGTCTGTGTTTGTAAATATCGACATCTATGTATTTAAGGGCGCAATTGAATGACCTCGAAATGCCACAGACATAAGTGGCGTTCATGTTAGAGATCTCAGAACGTGTCGAAACTTGTATGTGAACGGTTGGGACCGAGTCGGCACGTGTCTGGAAAACTAGATTATATGCAACATATACAAGGCGTACAAAGTATATGTACTCATGACCACGTGGTGTTTATGTCACACAAACCACGAATGTGAAGCGTCAGTATGAATTCCGAAACCATGAAAAAAATTAGTCAAATATTTACCTGTAATTCTGACATTCTCTAAAAGTTACTATAAGCATACTAGTATAAGAACCTATATATCTTCTGAAAGCTTGAATATAGGCGGATACGCTAGTGCATAATCTGTATCTATGTTTGTCTAAATAGTTACCCGACGGCCAATTTTTTCATTGTGTTTCTGTACTACTCTAAAATCAAGCTGAAACCATTTGTGTCAGCAAAATTTGCCTTTCAGCGTTTCAGAGGGGGTGTATATTTGACATCTTTAAGGGGGAGAATGACCCCATAGTAAGGTAACGCAAAATTTCGTGCCGCGGCCTTTGCCGTGTTGTCACTTACAATTACGCGAATTACCTGTGAATTGTACAGGATACTCGTAACATAATATGCTAGGTATTGCATGTGTATCTTACTTCGTTCCCCAGTTACGAACAACCATGGGCCTTTTTTTTAGCTGCATAGAACAACTTACTACAGGAATACATAATTAATTATTTCGTCGTAGCTGTACAGGTTATAGTTAGCTTGGTAGCCAATCAGCGATAGCGTTTCAACTGATGAGTTCAACCAGTTACATGAGACAAGTCATGTTGTTATTGGCCACAATTCCCCGCTGCAAACTTAAAAGCAGCTGACCAGAGAATGTCATTGTTGAAAATGTAGAGTTATTTTAAGCCGTGAAGTCGTAAAACAGATGAGTAGTCAATGTCAATATATGGAAATACGATTATGTAGACTTTGCCTACTATTTTTAAATAGGTTGTTTCTGTGGTGTTGCTGATACCTTTTATTGAAACGAATAGAATTCCACGGAGAAATTAAAGTAGCTACATACAATAATAGAATACAATAATAAATGTTACACAATGGAGGACAAAGTAACAACAAAATTTCCTAAAGTTTTCCTAAAACTGTCTAAAGTTGGTTAAATGCGTTGTTGTCTGCCATACATGACATTTTTACTGTAGTCGCCAAGACGAGTATGAATGGAAATGAGATCAAAGTACTGAACACTCTGAATCTCGACATATTAAACTACGCGTACAGACAATTTGATTTGTCAAAATTCCCAAATTCATAACAGCCATGGTACAATAACAATAATGGCTTGTCTCTGATACTACAGGAAATCACCAGCTGCAAAGCTGTACACCACGTCTAAATCAAGACGACCTTTGTACAATGTGTATTCAAATTCAAACGCTCACTGCGTGACGACCGCATCTTTCTACATAAGGTGAAAAATGGTTGCATGGAATTTCTATTAAAACACTTCATGTGTAAAAATAGCTTTAATGACCCTTAGTACCGCCTAATTGACCTACGTTTAATGGATTAAACTAGAAAAGCTTAAAAGCTTGTCATTACTTCAAATATCGTCTATTTTATGTCAGCAACGTGACCATACATATGTGGCCGATGGCACTGCACATTATTGCACCTAATGTGTTTAGACTTAGAAGGCGTTAATATTGTTGTTTCAAAGAGCACTGATTACAAATTAAATTGTTGTTTTATGTATCTCATAAAATTAACACGACAGGTTACTGCACCAATCTTCACCTTATAATTGCTGATTTTTGAAAATCAGGATGAGCGATCGCAGGTCACAAGATTGTTTTGGCTGTACTGTATCGAATACCTAGCAAAAATGAACTGATTCAGAAATAAACTATAAATACAAAATAAATGAATGAATAATAACCATGTTTCAGTTTACTTACTTGACTATTTTTTTTATCTCATTTAGAATGGATGGACACCACTTCATTATGCCGCTGAAGAAGGCTTCGGTGAAATCGTGGAGCTGTTTATAAAGACAATAAAAGACATTAACTGTACCACAAAGGTGAGTAAACAGTATAAAATAATCGTATCATATTCCAAAGTCACACAGTGAACTAGACTGACCGACGGCAACATCAATAAAACAAGTTTGATTTTTGATTTTGAATAGAGAGTGAAATTCAATGAACATTTTTTTGTTATGTTTTAAGGGTGGATCAACACCTCTCTTTTTGGCTGCAAAGTATGGTCATACAGAAACAATGAAAATCCTCACAGACGCCGGGGCGAACACAGCAATAAAAAAGGTATGGCGACGTTTAAACTGAATTCAGGGTGAATGTGACGAAAATAGCTTACGTTGCTTAATTGTGACGTTCAAAATTTGCACACCTTAGTAAGCGAATTCTTTCAGTCGGTTTGGTCGGCAATGTCTATGACTCACTCTCATGGGTTTTTCACTGTGGCTCACTAACCCAAGGATTGTTTATGACTCCCTCTCCAACGGTTTTAATTTGGCCTAATCACTCGGGGGTATTGACTGTGACTCACTCTTCCAGGGTTTTTACTGGGCTCAATCACCCATGGTATTGTCTGTGACTCACTGTAATAGGGTTGTTAATGTGACACACTCGCCCATGGTATTGTCTTTGACTCACTCTCCTAGGGTTTTTACTGTGACACACTCGCCCAGGGTATTGTCTCTGACTCACTCTCCTAGGGTTTTTACTGTGACTCACTCACCCAGAGTATTGTCTATGACTCATCCAACTAGGATTTATACTGTGACTCACTCATCCAGGGTATTGTCTGTGGCTCACTCTATTAGAGTTTTTACTGTGACTCACTCGCCCGGGGTAATAATATTGTCTATGACTCACTCTCTCGGGGTTTTTACTGTGACTCAATCACCCAAGGTTTGGAATGTGGTTCACTCGCCCAGGGTTTGGTCTGTTGCCCACTCAACCATGGTTTGATCTGTGTTTCACTCACCAAGGATTTTTCCTCGCTCACCCCGGGTTTGGTCTGTGGTTCACTCAACCAGGGTTTGGTATCTGGCTCACTGATCAATGGGTTGGTCTCTGGCATACTCACCCAGGATTTGGTCTTGGCTCAATCACTCAGTCGACCATTTTTGCGATTTGAACTCATGCCCTATTGATCAATAAACATAAAGTTACCATACCGTAATTGTTGTTAGTACGCTAAAATGGAATACAACAAAACCCAGGAAGATCATTATTCATCAACATGCTACAATTATATTTAACAATTACATGATTATTTTGTTTTGCAGGGTGAATTATCACCACTTCAAATAGCGGCACAAAATGGCCATATTCTCGCAGTTGAATATATTCTGAAGAAAGGCGATAAGGTATACACAAATTATAATGTTCTCTTGCTCTTTTTGATTCCAACAGCGTACAATGAGAATAAATCAACACTATCAAATTCAGTATTATCAGACCCACATTCGTATTTAGAATACTCATTATTATTTTAAGAGAACATTTCTTATATGAACATTTCATAGGAACATTTCTCATAGGAACATTTCATAGAAACATTTCGTAGGAACATTTCCGATGAGCAGTTTCAGTTGAATATTGTGAAAAAAGTAGCTTGCGCTATACTAGTACACGTTAGATTTGATTTGTGATGTATATTTCCATTGGTTTGTTTGTGGTGACATGTCAATAGTAACATTTATTTTGTCTTTCACTTTCAGTTAACTACTTGGTAAAAAGTTTCATCGTTTTATTATTGCTTCTTATTCTAGTAGTAATAATACAAGTGTAATGTTTTATTTCCGTTCTAGCCCTGTACTTTCTTCCTTCGTTTCCTTTTTCCCTTATTCTGTCCATCTTTTTCCCTTCCTCCCTTCTCCCCTCTCCCATTATGCGATGTCCTTTCTTCATTTCCACATTCTACCCTTCTATGTTTCATTTCATTTACATCGTGCGAGCAATCATTCTAGCAATAATGATGTTCATTTTATTTTATTAGGATTTGATTGGTGCTTTCCATTCCGCTGTCGAGAAAGGTCACGTGGACGTCGTGAGATTATTGCGTGACTCTGGTGCGAATGTGAATGAAAAAACAGTGGTAAATTTATACTTATTACGCAATCACTCAACTCTACGACATAAACATGTACTTAGTATTCACAGTGCACTCTATAAGTGCATAAACATGTTTCTGTTCTGTTCTCTGTTATGCAGGTCGGTGATTTCCCTATTCACTTGGCAGCATGGAATGGACAAGTGAAAGTTATTAAATATCTCATGAAGATGGGAGGAAGAGTAAATGCCAGCAATAAGGTGGGAATATTATCATTCGTTTATATGTGTTGCTTTGTTCGAACGCTTTAAAGCGGGAGGGTCGTCACCTGTGCAGGCACCGGAATTGAGTCCCAACCGACAATAACAACACTCGCTAAAAACGCTATGGCCATCTGACGCATGCGTAGTTGACGACTCCCCCGCTTTAAAACAGTTGTATAAGGTTGTGTCTCCATTTTACTAGTGTCCCCTTTTTGGCAAGAAGTCTAAAAATGGGTCAACATTAACAACATTCTAAATAAATATTTGCATTTTGCTGAAATTAAACTTGCAAATGTCGCCCACAAAATTACTTTTACCTCTCATTATTGATATTGCTTGCAGAACATATTATTATGTGGAGTTAGGTACGTTTCATGGTCCCATGGCGCTGGGTGGAAATTGTTATGTTGATAGTACTCTTCTTGGTATGTGGACCGTTCAAAGTATGGCGATCTTCTGGAGTTCCAAGATGATAATATTTCCAGGAATATTATATTTGTTCTAGTTGTCATTTCCCACATTTTGTTGATTTCAATTTCATGGTCTTTGTACTTAAACATTTGTTCAGCCAGTTTTACAGAGAGAGATTTCTATCTGGTGGTACTGTCATGTCAATAATGACGCATGTCTATTCCTTGTCCTTGGTAACTATGTCTGGTTTTTACAGAGAGAGAGAGAGATGTTTCTATCTGGTGGTACT